AAAATTTTCGAGGCTTAAATTTCGTGAATAATGAAATTTATGGAGAAATTTTAAATTCCGTGATAAATATTTTCGTGATTTAATTTTAATAATAATAATGACCACGCCTTATTTAATTAAAACATGGCAGATTCAATGTTTGAGACGGACTCTTGTGTCAAGGGGCACCATGTCTACAATCAGTGTGGACACCAGAGATGGGGAAGATCATCATCTTTGACCTAGGCAGTATGCTTAAAATAGCAATACAGAGTAACAGAGACATCAGCTTGACCTAGAATACAACTTGACACGAGGGCACATGCACATTTATTAGTAAGGCGTGGCTAACCACGCCTCTCAATTAATATTAATTTTCGGGGGTTTAATTTTTCGTGATGCAAACAGTGATCACGAAAATACGAAAATTTATTCCTCACGAAATTTTTTGGCTATACGGTATGTACCATAGCATCAGGCCAATCCTGATCTATACCAAACCACACCCATTATAAACCACACCCATTATAAACCACACCCACTACCACCAATCACCTCATTGTTTCGGTATCAGTCGTTTCTTCTCACCAGACACGTGGAGGCTAACAATGAAATCATGTCCAACATAAGAGAGCTTCTCTGACTTCCTGTGCTGTGGCCAATAACCAGAATCTGCCTTTAAGAAGAGATACAGTGACTGAGAGACTCAGTTAATGTCTTACTGAATAAGTGGATGCAGTGAGGCCCCACTGTTGCAATATGTCTTCAATGGTGGAGACAAAACTAGAGAATGTTTGATAAATTATATAAAGGAGCTGATGCTTACCTTTCCCACGGGGAGGCATTAGTAAAATCTGTTATCTCAAAGAGTTCATCATCAGTTTCATCAGACACTTTGTATTCTAATAATACGAATTACAAAATTATTAAAATGAAATTTTGAACAACTTTTCCTAATTTCCTCCAATTTTCCGAGGTTGAAAAAACGAGAAAGCTCGAAAACAAAAAGGGACATTTGGGTGTGAGGTCTTGACCAGGCTGGCCTCTGGACAGGATTCATTGTTTTGTGGAACTATGGCTACTAGATCTAGTCAAGCTTGTTTAGGTACTTTAATTTTGATAATTAATCCACTATTGATTTTTGAATATACTTGTAGATATTGGTGATTTGATTGATGTCATTGACTTATTAAAGAAATGTGGCTTTCAAGGAATAAAGTGGCAAGAGCTAGGGCTGAGATTAGGACTACTGAAAACTACACTGGATGCCATTGAAATGAAGTATCGTGGTGACGTGTACCACTGCTTGACTGAATGCCTCTCCCAATGGCTCCTCAGAGCTGATAATGTTGACAGTAG